AGGCGCAGGAAGAGCAGCAGCAGCAGCAGCAGCAGCAGCAAAAGGAGAGTGCGCAGCAGCTGCAGGATCAGCAGCAAATGGAAAGACGCCCCCACCAGCACTCGCAGCAGGAACTCTTGCTGCTGCTGCGCCCCGATGCAGCAGCACAGCGAGCGCAGCAGCAGCTGCAGTTTGCTGCTGGAGTTCCAGTGTATCCTTTGGGCCTCTTTTGCCTCCGCCTGCTGCAGCAGCGCCGCGCAGCAGCAGCAGCCAGCCCCCCACAGCAGCAGCAGCAGCAGCAGCAGCAGCAGCAGCGGGAGGCCAAGAGTGCCTGTTGCGTGAGCAGCAGCGCGAGCAAGAGCAGCGGCAGCAGCAGCAGCTGGAGCAGCAGCAGCAGCAGCAGCAGCAGCAGCAGCTCTTGCTGCTGCCTGCATGCGCCTGCAGCAAGAGAGTGCGGCTGGTGCTGCCTGCGGCTGTGGGGCCCCACAGAAGGCTCTTTGGATTTGCTGCGGGGCTCTCTTCTTATAGAAGACCTGCAGGGGTTGCTGCTGCACCGCCAGCGGCAGCAGCGGGGGCAGCAGCAGCAGCAGCAGCAGCAGCAGCAGCAGCAGAGGCCAGTTGTGGGGCCCCACACACTACAGTAAGTGCCTGCAGCAGCAGCAAACTAGCTAACCCCAGGTACAGCTGCAGCTGGAGTCCCCCAGGGGCCCCCCAAAGGCCCTAGGGGGCCCCTGGGGGGCCCCTGGGGGCCCCTGGGGGGCCCCTTTGGGGGCCCCTTTGGGGGCCCCTGGGGGCCCCTAGGGAAGCACCCTAAGGGCCCTTTTTGGGGCCCCTTGGGATGCTTTGGGGGCCCCCTTGGGGCCCTAAAGGGTACCGTAGGGGCCCCCATAAGCTGCTGTATGACCACAGAGAGAGGCAGCTAGTGCATGCAACCTGTTTGCTGCTGCTGCTGCAGCTGCTGCTAGTGTTTGCGGTGCTGCTGTGGCTGCTGCAGAGGTGCAGCAGCAGGACGAGGCAGCAGCTGCTGCAGCGGCGTAGGGGCTGGCGCTGCTGCTGCTGCGCTGCAGAGATGCATCCGAGACTCCGTGCGGCAGCTGCTGCCCTTCCCCCGTGCTGCAGCAGCAAGCAGCAGAGCAGGCAAGCCCTGGAGCTGCTGCAGCAGCAAAAACATCAAAAACAGCAGCAGCAGCAGCAGCAGCAGACAGCACTACACGCTTATCTGAGCTTGAGAATATCCTTGTCTTTTCTCAGCGGCTGCTGCTCATTGCTGCAGAGTGGCGCCCTCGCTGCTGCTGCTGCTGCTGCTGCTGCTGCTGCTGCTGCTGCTGCTGATTTGGCGTGCGTGTGCGTGCATGCGTTGGGGTGTACGTACAGCTGTGGCTAAGAACGCCCTGGTCGCGGGCCTGTGGCAGCAGCACGGAACTTTGGGGGGCCCCCTAAATGAGTCCATTTCCGTTTTGGGGGCCCCCCCCTTCCGCCGTTTGCTGCTGCTGCTGGGCCCCACACTTTTCTCGCAGCTGCTTTGCTGCATCCTTTTTGTGCCTGACGAGTTCTTCGTTCGGTTCGCGCAGCAGCAGCAGCTCGCGCTCCCGCGGGCCCCTCCAGCCAGCAGCAGCAGCAGCAGCAGCAGCAGCAGCAGCAACAGCAGCAGCATCAACAGCAGCAGCAAGAGCAGCGGCAGCAACGGCAGCAGCAGCTGCAGCAGCAGCTGCTGCAGTAGCTGCTGCCACTGGAAGCTGGCGTCGGAGTGTGAAAGCCAAAAGCAGCAGCAGCAGCAGCAGCAGCAGCAGACACAAGACATGGATACAGCGCGTCTGGTGTATATACAGCTCTGCGGGCGGCCCCTCACAAATGGGGCCCTCGAGGCCCTTGCCAAAGACCACCGCGTTGTGCAGGAGGCCAGGGAGCGCATGCAGCAGCAGCAGCAGCAGCAGCAGCAGCAGCAGCAGCAGCAGCACGACAGCAAAAGCCCCTCAAGCTCTGCTCTTGCGCTATGCTGCAGCAAACGCGACAGAAGCCGCTGCAGAGCTGCCCATCGCCGGGCTGCAGCAAAGCTTCGCAGGCGCCTTCAGCGCACTCCCGCCTCCCCGCAGCAGCAGCAGCAGCAGCAGCAGCAGCAGCAGCAGCAGCAGCAGCAGCGGCGGTGTGAAATAGAAGTCCCCCGCCAATCCATGTTTCATTGCCGCAGCTTCTCGAGACTGGGGGGCCTCCCCAGCAGCAGCATTTTGACAGCTTTGTGTCGCGTGGGGCTTCTTATGCCCAGGCACGCGCCCCACACCAAGGCAGCAGCAGCAGCAGCAGCAGCAGCAGCAGCAAAAGCAGCAGCTGGAGCTGCAGCTGGTGTGGCGGTAAGTGCAGCGGCGGCGCCAGCTACGGAGTCCGTGCGAACTGGGATTGTGGCAGCAGCAGCAGCAGCAGCAGCAGCAAGAGAGCCCGGTGCTGCGGCAGCTGCAGCAGCATCACGTGAAGCCGAAACAGCAACACATGGTGCGTCACCAGCAGCAGCAGCAGCAGCTGCTGCTGCTGCTGCTGCTGAAGGGGAAGTCCTCTCCAGGACTGATAGACCAAGGGCCCCCAAGGCAGCAGCAGCAGACGCCACCTCAGTGGAGAGAGCAGCAGCAGAAGGGACAAACACTACAGCTGCTGCGGCGCGAACTGCTGCAATTGCTGATGTTACTGAAGCAACTGCGCCAGAAGCAGCAGCAGCAGCAGCAAAAGCAGCAACAGCAGCAGCAACCGCTGAGAATGTCGCAGCTTTCATGTCTCCAGCAGCTCCAGACAGCGCAAAAGGCGCATTGTCAGTATCGGCAGCGCCAAACGCAGCAGCAGCAGCACCAGCAGCAGCAGCAGCACAAGCACCAGCAGGAGCAGCAGCACCCGCAGCAGCAGCACAGGCGCCAGCAGCAGCAACAGCAGCAGCAGCACAAGTTCCAGCAGCAGCAGCAGCAGCACAAGGGCCAGCAGCAGCAGCACAAGCGCCAGCAGCAGCAGCAGCAGCAGCAGCAGCAGGAAGCAGCAGCAAAGGTGCTGCTGCAGCCAAAACAGCTGCGGGCTCCTCCCGCCGCCGAGCACTCGGAGCTGCAGCGCGGGTGCTGCTGAAGTTCATTCTTTTTGATCCAAACTTTTTCGAATTAGCCAAAGAGGGATTGCCCAGGAAGCAGCAAGCCCTTGCGGAGTTGCTCAGCAGGCAGTGCCAGGAGGCGCTGCAGCCGCATGCAGCAGCAGCAGCTGCAGCGCCACCCAGCAGCAGCAGCAGCAGCAGCAGCAGCAGCAGCAGCGGCAGCAGCAGCTGCTGCAGCGGCAGAGGCAGCGGCCACGGCAACGGCGCAGGCGTGGCAAGCTGCAACGGGACCGGCAGCAACAGCAGCAGCAGCAGCAGCAGCAGCAGCAGCAGCAGCAGCAGCAGGATGGAGGCACGCAGAGCCCGGCGGCGCGCTGGGCGGCGGCTGCGGCTGGGCTCGCAGCTGGCGAGGTGAGCAGCAAGCTTGCTGTTTGGCTTATTTTGATTATTAATTTAAATAAGTAAATAATTAATAAATAATAAATAATAAATAAATAAATAAATTAATTAATTAATTAATTAATTAATTAATGTGTGGCGGCTAATTCGCGCAGCAAATGGCGATTTATAAAGAGGAGCTGAGGCAACAGGCGGCGCTGCTGCAGCTGCTGCTGCAGCACAAGTTATCTAAGCAGCCATTTTAATTAATTTCTTTTTAAAAAGATAATTTAAAATTTATTTATTTTTAATTTAATGTTTTATTTTGTTTAGGGCTTCTTGTTTTTTGATTGATGGCTTTTGGCTCAAGTAATTGCATTGTTGGTTTAATTTGAGAGGGCCTTTGGGGCTCCCGATCGCCTGCAGCGGCTAAACCCCAAACCCTAAACCCTAAACCCTAAACCCTAGACAGCAGGCCTCAGGGACTCGAAATTCTCCTGCAGGGTTTAGAGTCTTGCGGGGCCCTTATTCGCAGCTACGAGCTGATTGGCTTCGGGGTTTAGGGTTTAGGGTTTAGGGTTTACGGTGGGATCTTTGTGCTGCAGTGCGTTGCTTGCCTTTGAAATTTAGGGTTTAGGGTTTAGGGTTTAGGGACTAGGGTTTAGGCGTGCTGCGCCTTTGCTGCAGAGAGCTGCTTCCAGGCTTCGAGGCGCTGCTGCTGCGTCACAGCCGCTGCCCCTATTTGCTGCTGCTGTCGAGACACTGCAAGATCCCCCCCGAGGCCCGTCGAGCAGCTGCGCGCCCTGCTGCAGCCTCCCGCAGCAGCAGCAGCACGACCAGCAGCGGCAAGGCCAGCAGCAGCAGCAGCAGCAGCAGCAGCAGCAGCAGCAGCAGCAGCAGCAGCAACAGCAGCAGCAGCAGCAACAGCAGCAGCAGCAGCAGCAACAGCAGCAGCAGCAGCAGCAATCCGCTTTCAGAAGAGCCGCCAGCCCTTGACTGGGCTGTGCCAACAGCCCGTGTTGCTGCTTTTGCTGCTGCTGCTGCTCAGCAAGTGGTGCCCCCCTGCCTCTTGGGGTGTACGTACAACTACCGCCTTTTCCTGCAGCGAGTCCGCCAATTCGTTTGCCTCAACTCCACTGAGACTTTCACAGTTCACCAGCTCATGCACCGCATGCAAACTGCAGCACCGAAGCCGCAGCGAGCAGCAGCAGCAGCAGCAGCAGCAGCAGCACGGGCCGCAGGAGCGGCAGCAGCAGCAGCAGCACGGGCCGCAGGAGCGGCAGCAGCAGCAGTGGCAGAAGAGGGGAGCAGCAGCGAGCCACAGAGGCGCGTCCTGCCGTGCAACGGATTTCAACGTGAAAAGGAGGTGCAGCAGCAGCAGCAGCAGCAGCAGCAGCAGCAGCAACAGCTGCTGCCGCGGCGCCAGCTGCGCCTGCAGCAGCAGGAACGCAAGCACTTTCTGGAGAGGCTTATATTCTTTTTGTTTTCCCACTTCATTGTCCCTCTCTTGCGGTGAGCCCTAGATGCCCTCATTTGAGTCTGCAGCTGCAGCAGAAGGAGCAGCAGCAGCAAGATCAGCAGCAGTTGCTGCTGCTGCTGCTGTTGCTGCTGCTGCTGTTGCTGCTGCTGCTGTTGCTGCTGCTGCTGCTGCTTGTCTTCCTGTTTAGCTTTGACTAGACTGAGTGCAGCGACACAAACTGCATTATCACTCCTGCTGCTGCCTGCATATCCCTCCAAACTAACGTGTGGAGCGACCCCACGGAAACCCTAATTAGGGTTTAGGGTTTGGGATTTAGGGTTTCAGGTTCAGAGGGTTTGGGGTTTAGGGTTTGAGGTTTAGGTCCTTGGGTTGTGTCAGTCTCGGAAGGGAGCCAGAAAGAGTCCCACTGCAGTTTGCCGATCCTACCTTTGCTGCTGTTGCCGCTTCTGCTGCTGCTGCTGTTGCTGCTGCTGCTGCTGCTGCTGCTGCAGCTGCCACTTTTACGTGACGGAGGCTGCGTCTTCTCAGCGGCGGTCTCGTTTTTACCGAAAGGGAGTTTGGTTTCGAATTGAGTCTGCTGCTGCTGCTCGTTTGTACGCCCAGTGCTTCCAGCCACGCGCAGCCAGCCCCGCTGCTGCTGCTGCTGCTGCTGCTGCTGCTGCTGAGGCAGCAGCACGTGGCGCAGCAGGACAAGAAAAGGGCGCAGAGGACGCTCCTGTCGCTCCCAGCAAACGGCAAGTTGCTGCTGTCAGCACAGAGGGCCCCAAGGGGCCTAAGAGGCTTCGGCCAGAGAGCGGCAGCAGCAGCTGCTGCTGCTGCAGCAAGCCATGCAGCAGCAGCCGATGCAGCAGCGCGAGCTCCGGTTGCAGCAAGCATAGCCCTTGTGTGGCCAGCAGCAGCAGCAGCATCAGCAGCAGCAGCAGCAGCAACAGCAGCAGCAGCAGTAAGCGACGCAAGACAGAGAGCGCTTCCCAGAGCCCTGATGATTTGGAGTCTATTGTTGAGGCTGTCTCCGCGGTGATTGCGCCTTCGGGCGCAGCAGCAGCAGCAGCAGCAGCAGCAGCACCGCCACTTTCTCTCGGTGCTGCTGCTGCTGCTGCAATCCCCCGAATTCGCTTCATTCCGAAGGCCCGCGGCTGCAGGCCGCTAGTGAATCTATCAAGGGGCCCCAGCGGGGCCCACTTAGCGCGTTTGCTGCTGCAGGTGCAGCAGCAGCTCGCCACCATCCGTCAGCAGCAGCAGCAGCAGCAGCAGCAGCAGCAGCAGCAGCTAGAGGCTTGCTGCTCGGCGCCCGCTAGTGCGCGGGTGCCGCCCTGCAGCGGGCGCTCCAGGCAGCTGCTGCCATCAGCAGCAGCAGCAGGGGCAGCGGCCCCGTGCGCCGCAGCAGCAGCAGGCGCAGCAGCAGCGGGGAGCGCAGGAAGCGCAGCAGCAGCAGCAGCAGCAGCAGCAGCAAGCGCCGCGGGTGCCTCGACGTACGGCGACTACCTGCGGCGGCTGCTGCAGGCGGAGTGCAGCAGCGCGCAGCTGCTGCAGGCGTCTGCTGCAGCGCAGCGGGAGCGCAGGGGGGCGCAGCTGCTGCGGCCGCGCGCTGCAGCGCAGCGGGAGAGCAGCAGCGCGCTGCTGCTGCAGGCGTCTGCTGCAGCTGCTGCAGCGCAGCGGGAGCGCAGCAGCAGCTTGTCAGTGAACTCCGTGCTGCGCCCCATCAGCCAACACTTGTCTTGTTTGTGTCGGTTCAGTTCGGAGGCTTTGGGGTGTTCAGTAATGTCGAATTCTGAGGTGTACGTACACCTCACGGCCTGGTGGCGGCGCTACCAAGGCCGGCTGCGGCTGCTGCGCCGTTTGCTGCAGCAGCAGGGGCCTTGCTGCGGCCTGCGCCGGGTGTACATACACCGCATGCAGCAAATTGTCGGAGACCTCAGCCGCTGCTTCGAAAGCATTTCCCACCAAGAGCTGCAGCAGCTCGTGCTGCTGCTGCAGCTGCCTCCCCACACCCACAGGCTGCAGGCCTACCGCCGCATCACCACTCCGGGGGCCATTTACGCCGTCCCCAGCAAGGCAGCAGCAAAGCCAGCAGCAGCAGCAGCAGCAGCAGCAGCAGCAGCAGCAGAGCAGCAGCGCCTGGGGGTCTCTACTTTCGGAGTTCTCGATGAGTTTTGTGTCCCTCCGCTGCCAAATGGCCTTTTGCCGCGGCTGTCTTTTCTTTTAAGAAGACAAACAAATCACCAAAGACTCAAGCGCAGCAGCAGCAGCAGCAGCAGCAGCTCGCCGGGAGCAGCAAAGCGGGCGCGCGCAGCAGCCCCCGCAGCGCCGGCTGCACCCGCAGCAGCAGCAGCTGCTGCTGCTGCTGCTGCTGCTGACGCTGCAGCTTTGCCACCACCGTCGGCGCCTGCAGCACTTGCTGAGGCTGCAGCAGCAGACACAGTCTGCCCAAGTGCTGCTGGGCATTCCGTGAAGGGCCCCCCCCTGCAGCAGCAGCAGAGGCCCCTAGGGCTGCGGAGGCACGGCACGCAGCAGCAGCAGCAGCAGCAGCAGCAGCAGCAAAGCACATGCAGCAGCGAAGTGTCGACATCCCTGTGTGTTCGGCGTTTGCTGCTGCGGGGCTCCTCGGCGGGGGGCTGCGCCTTCGTGGCCCCGCAGTGTACAGACACCCGAGTTACTGCAGCAGAGGTGCGTGCTGCGCTGCTGCTGCTGCTGCGCATGCACTGGGTGCTGCTGCCGCGGCGGCTGCGCGGCTCCGCCGAGCAGCAGCCAGGGGCCCCCCAGGGGGGCCCCCCAGGGGGGCCCCACAGCCACTTGCTGCGGGGCCCCTTTGGGGCCTTTAGGCAGCTTCAGGGCATTCCCCAGGGCTCTAATTTGTCAGCTCTTTTGTGTGCTCTTTACTACGGAAATAAAGACCGCCATCCTGATGTGCAGCGGCTCCTCAAGGGCAAGCTAGGCCCCACTCGCCGCCGCAGCAGCAGCAGCAGCAGCAGCAGCAGCAGCAGCAGCAGCAGCAGCAGCAGCAGCAGCAGCTCCGCCAAAGGCGGCGGCTGCTGCAGCCCCAGCTGCAGCAGCCCCCAGCTGCTTCCTCCCACGCGCCCTCAGGAGCACCAAACGCAGAACGTACAGCAGCAGCAGCAGCAGCAGCAACAGCAGCATCATCACCAGCAGCAGCATCCGCAGCAGCAGCAGCCGCAGCAGCAGCAGCCGCAGCAGCAGCTGCCCTCTCTGGAGTCCTTCGAGCTGCTGTGGGAGGCCCCCAGCCTGGCTGCGGGGGCCCCCGGGGGCCCCTCTAGCTTCATCTTTTGTGACCCGCTGCTGCTGGAGGTTTCACCAGGCTCTTCCCTGCGCAGCTCCTCAGTGCAGCAGCAGGCCCGCAGCAGCTGTGCTGCAGTGCAGCAGCAGCAGCAGCAGCAGCAGCAGGACGGAGCCCAACAGGCTCCACAGCTCAGCCAGGGGGGGGGAGAAGCTGAAATGGCTGCACTGGAGGGCTCTCCCACCTTAGCTGCAGCAACAGCAGCAGCTGCTGCTGCTGCTGCTGCGCAGCAAGCTGGCAGCTGCCGGGATTCAGAGTGCAGCGGAAACCGCGAGACAGCAACAAAGGTGCTGCGGCGGCGGCGGCTGCTGCTGCTGCGGCTGCGGCGGCTGCTGCTGCCGCCGCTGCTGCTGCGCTGGGTAGATGACTTTGTGTTTGTGTCTCCTTCTGTCTCAGCAGCAGCAGAGTTCCTGCGGCTGCTGACGCAGCAGCAAGTGTGGGGCCCCAACGTGAATGTCCAGAAGCTGAGGCTCGAAGTTGACTGGAGCCTATGGCCTTCCGACCAACCAGCAGCAGCAGCAGCAGCAGCAGCAGCAGCAGCAGCAGCAGCAACAGCAGTGGCTGCAATGCGCGCACCAAGGATGCTGCCCGCAGTCTTCGCGTCCTCAGCAGCAAATTCCGCGCGAACACCGTCGACGCCGGCAGCAGCAACTGCAGCAGCAGCAGCAGCAGCAGCAGCAGCAGCAACAGGTACATCAGGAGCAGCAGCAGCAGCAGCTACATCATCATCATCATCAGCGGCAGCAGCAACCCCGCCTGCAGCAGCAGCTACGCCATCCTCAGCAGCAGCAGCAGAGCCTGCAGCAGCAGCTACACCACCACCAGCCTCACCACCATCGCCATCACCGTCACCCTCACCAGCATCATCACCAGCAGCAGCAGCAGCAGCAGCAGCAACAGCAGCAGCAGCAGCAGCAGCAGCAGGAGGCCTTTGCTGGGCAGGAATGGAATTAAAAATCCCAGCAGCACACTGCCGCCTCGAGTGCCGCGCGGCCCACTGGAGAGACACCGCGCAGCTGCTGCTGCGCGACGCAGCAGCACTTCGCCGCCGCAAAGGCAGCAGCTTCATAAGTGTCAGTTTTTGGTTTGCTGCTGCTTCTTTTGCTGCTCCATTTGCTGCTCCATTTGCTGCCAAGTTGCTTCTTTGGGGGTGTTGGGTTTGCTGCTGCTTCTTTTGCTGCTCCATTTGCTGCCAAGTTGCTACTTTTGGGGGTTTCTGGTTTGCTGCTGCTTCTTTTGCTGCTCCATTTGCTGCCAAGTTGCTTCTTTTGGGTGCTTCTGGCTTTTGTTGCTGCTTCATTTACTGCCAAGTTGCCTTCTTCGGCGCAGCGCTGCTGCTGCTGCTGCTGCAGCAGCAGCAGCAGCAGCAGCCCCTGCATAAGCAGCCCCTGCATCAGCAGCCCCCGCTCCATCAGCAGCAACCTTGCCGCTGCATCCGCAGCAGCGCCCGCTGCAGCGTCCGCCGCAGCAGCCGCAGCAGCCGCAGCAGCAGCAGCAGCAGCAGCAGCAGCAGCAGCAGGAGCGCGTTTGCTGCTGCTTGTGCGTGTCAGGGAATGCTGGAGCGGCCTGTGTTTGGCAGCCTGCGGGCGTGGCTGGGCTCTCGCGTGTTTGTGGATTTGCAGCTAAACTCTCTTTGCTGTTCGCTGCGAAATATTTACTTGGCAGTTCGGCTGGCCTTCCAGCGGCTGCTGCTGGCGCTCAAGCGGCTGCTCAAGGAGTTCGCAGCCTTCGTCAACCCCCAGTACCTCCTGAGTGCGAGGGTTTAGGGTTTAGGGTTTAGGGTTTAGGGTTTAGGGTTTAGGGTTTAGGGTTTGGGG